GTATGTGTGTATATATATCTCCTCAATATTTATTCCATTCTGTATGCATCCGAAGAAGTGGGCTGTAGTCCACGAAAGCTTATGCTCCAATAAATTTGTTAGTCTCTAAGGTGCCACAAGTACTCCTGTTCTTTTTCCAGTCTATCTCGTCACCCCACAAACTAGTGACAAATGGTCACTTACACCAAACATCACACCACATTCAGGCTGCTCCCAGACCAGTGACTTGGTACCTCGGTCTCACACCAAAGACAACGCTGGTAGCCAATTCTATAGTAAACGCACGAGAGGCGTAGTAGCTAAGAAAAGGAAAGGAGAGTTATGGGAGGTTAAAGCAGGAAAAATGTATGGACAGGTGAGTCACAGTCTGTAATTCCAAATGGCGGCAGAGATGTAATAAACTTTCAGGTTCCCAAAAGCCTTTTCAGGGAACCCAGATTGTCTGTGGGAATCTCTGCTTTGTGTCTGGGACCCTTCCCTGTGAGAGGCCAGACAGTCCAGAGATAAAGGAGGTTTCCCTGAACCCACATGTATAGCTTCTGCTCCCAGAAAACAAACTGGCAGGGTCACTCCCCACTTGGGCTTTCTTTGAGTAAGGATTGAGGAGCACATGTAAAGGCTTTGATCTCCAACCATCCCACACAATGACAGCTTGCTTTGAAATGAGCACTTTTCTTCATTTGCCTCCCACAAGGCCTCTTTCTCCTTTGATGGGTTATTTAGTTACAGGGGATATGTACGATGCCAGTGTTTGCTATAGTATTATGACAGGTACAGATACATGAAAACAATGCATGCAACAGCCCCTAGTTCATGAAGTTTAGACACAAAATACACTCCTAGACATATAACTATCACTTTTATCTATACTAACACACAAGTGACTTGTCCTGGCTTCCAGCCATGCATTGCTAAGCAAGGCCTGGGGCTTTAGGGTGAGCTGGCACCTGGCACGTGGTCTGCCAGCATCACACCATCACCAATTCTGTTTGTTTATTTTTTAAAGGGTTAGTAACTAAGGGTCGGTCGACACCAGAGAATTAGATCGACCCAGACACCTCGCTCAGGGCTGTGAAAAATCCACACCTTTGAGTGACCGAGTTAAGCAACCCACCGCCCGTGTAGACAGCGCTATATCAACGGAAGAATTCTTCTGGCGCCGTAGCTACTGCATCAGTGGGAGGTGGATTAGCTCCGCCTGCGGGAAAGCCCCACCCATCGCTGGAGTGAGTGTCTGTGCAGAGACACCACCGTGGGGCTGTGTTTTACGTGCAGACAGAGCCTAAGGCTGGAATTTTCCAAGGAGCCAGTTGTGGGGCAATGAGTGAGGCCGTTGTTTTGTACCCTGGTCACGCAATTCCCCACATACACACCAACAACAGTCCCCACATTAGTTCCATCTCGCACCCTGCTGCTGCTGAGCCAGTCTCTGTTCATCTCAGTCTGATTCCCCTGACAGAGAGACCCCGCACACATCTCCCACCCAGCTCCCTGGCTCCCCCCATCCAGGGAGTGGGAGTCCCGCTAGCTCAGCCTGTGTCACTTTGCTCTTGCTGTCTTCACATTGGCTCTGGCTGCTGCCTGGGCCTCACTCTTGGCCCCAGTGCCCACGGAATGGCTGATCTGTCTCCTCTGCTCCCCCTTGATTTCCCGGCAGATGCGGTGAGCTTGGCCAGCGTGAGAGCAGCAGTGAAGGAGGTGGAGTCCCAGCTGAATGGCAAGGGCCTGAACCTGATCATTAATAATGCAGCAGTCAACTCCCATGCCATGCCGCAGTCAGTGCAGCTGGAGGAGATGATCTCCGTGTTCACTACCAATGTGGTCGGGCCGATCCAGGTGGCCAAGGTACGTACGGACTCACTGGCTATTATTTACTTGGGGGAGGGGAGAAGGGAGGGACTGAGAGGCATGGAGAGATCTTCACCCTATCTAGGGACTGGATCAAACAGAGTTCATTCTGTACCTGGAGCCACCCACTGTTTATCAGTGTATTAAAAACTGTTAAAATGAGAAGCTATCGCTCTAAGTATAAGGGGTTTCCTGGTCCTGCTTATGGGCTAGCAGGAAGCATGGGGGCTGGGTCTTCAACAAGTAGTCTGCGAAGTGCCAGCCTAGGGTGAGGCAGGGAGAGTTGTGCCTTTCTGCCTTAGGGAGCAGCCTGCTTTCTGGAGTCTAAGAAATAAAGTCATGTTATGTTGCAACCTTCCAGCAAGAGTATTAATGTTTTTATTGAACTTCTCTCTGTGCTCTCTGAACAAGACATTTACAGCAAGTCAGGGAAAGAGGAGAATATGGGGAATATGGATCATGGGCTGCTCAGCACCTCCTCCCGCCTGCACAAGGCACAGAGAGCAGCGGAGACCACGCAGGCAGCCAGTCCTACCCACGGTGCAGCCAAGCCATCAGCTGAGTCTGCTCCCTGCTGCTCCGCTCAGGTGGATCGTTGGCCTTTGCATAGAGCTGGAGCGTGTGTGCTGATGTGCAGACCTGATTCCATGTGTGCGCGTGTCAAGGTGCCTGTGTCTGTGAGTGTGCGCTGCAGCTGTGTGTGGTGTGTGTGATATCCCCATATCTCTGTGCACACTGTGTGTGTGACTGGTGTGTCCATTGCCATCGACACAGCTGATCACTCTCTGCTCCTGGCTCCCAGGGCTCCTTGGACTCCATACTCGCTTGATTGTCTTCTTACCCCCCTGACGGCTGGGGGCTCCTCCCTTCCCTTCAGGGCACCATCCATGTCTTCTCTTCTCCCTCTGCCCCCAGGGATCTCAGTCTGGCCTATAGTCTCAACTTTCCCCACTAACCCAGAGACTCCCACACCTGCCTCACCGCCCCAGCTCACCTCCCAATCCCTGCTCCTGGCCACCCCAACAGACAGGGCAACTGCTGGAACTTTGTCCTCTCTGGCCACTTGCTTCCCAGCTCCTGCATCTATCACAGCGCGGCCGAGATCACCTTCCTCTCCTCCTGTGACCTAGCCTCGTCCTCCTGCTTCCCCGTCCTTCTTTCTGGTTCTCTGTAAGGGAGTGTTACGCTGCGAGCTTCCACCACCAACCCCTTGGACACTGGTGTGAAGGCCCCAGGAGGAGTTAACCAGAAGCTTCTGTCCCCCACGGCCAAAGGGACTTGTGATAGGGCCAGGCATTTGGGCTGAGAGGCAGAGGGCTCTTGCTGACGAGTGTGGGTGTTTTGTGTGGGAGGGAAGGCAGAAAACACAGAGTCTGAGGCCAGGCAAGTTTGGAGAGGGAGACGGAGAGGCAGGAAGGGAGCCAAGTGGGGTCAGTAAGGGCTCTGTGCATGACCCTGGGACAAGCTACAGGCAGTTTGTGGGTCTGGCGCTGGCTAAAGAGGTGTGGGGGCTGTACGCTAAGAAGCTGCTCCTTTAGCTTTTGGCTCCCCCTGCATACGGAGGAGCAGGACGGCATCAAAGACAACACCAGGCTCATCAACTTCTGCTTCCCGCTGGGACGGCCCCGGTCCCTGCGCTTTGACTAGCC